ATAAAAACACTATTTTCATGGATAGGAAGGAGAAGGCCTACTAATCAGTAATTCAGGAACTAGTTGTTCTAGCAATTTTTTTTTCTGGTCTTTTGAGACAAAAACCAAAATCTAACAGAGACTAAGAACTACAATTAGCAAAGACAAATTAACTCAACCTTAATATACAAATACAAATAATGTTTAAAAATTTTTGATTAGGATGTATTATGTATGCTGAAATAAAAAGAAGAAAAAATAAATTTTATGATATAAATATTGAATGTTTTAAGTGTGTTGCTAAGGTATAACCATTCAGGAAAATACACAAGCCATATGTTACAGCTCAGCACATTTTTAGGTGAACAGTAGCTAGCACCCAGTTGAACATGTAAAGCATTGTACCTTTCTGAGTTTCACTGCTTATCCAATCACCTGAAATCATTAAGACAGTGTGGGATATTGTATGAATTTCATTGCTTATCCAGTCATCTCAGACATGTGTCATAATAACTACAGTCAGTTGTTATCAATATTTTTCCAATTTTCAGTCTTTTGTTGCACATATTTTTCCTTATCTTATTATACAGGTGAATTTGCCAACATAGGGAAATAGAATATATGACTAACTCCTTGTCTCCATTATGATATTTAGATATTTAATGGGTCTCCAATGCTTTTACTTTATCCTAAGCTTCACAAAGATTGGAGTAGACCTGCCCATGACCTGTCCTTCAAATGCCCTCTACTCACAACCTCCTAAGCAACTTTGCACCCAGCATGTTTGAGCATAGAGACTTTGACTGCCCATATGTTTCCCACCCACCACCCCGCCTCCTGTCTAAATTTGGTTCATACTGCACACATAAGCTTGCATTCTCTTTTCTGTAACACCTACTACAATCTATAATTACATATGCATTTGTGAGTAGAAATCACAAATGATGTCAATTTCCTTTACCAGCTTACAAACTCCATGAAGTGAGGAAACTTACCTATTCTTTGTTTTATACCCAGCATGTGGCTCATAAAAGGTACTCAATAAATGCTTATTAAATGAACTAATAAGATTATGAGTAAACCATAAGTGGATGTCTGACTCATAAGTTGATCTCCCTCATTTCTGCTCACTCTTGAGTGTCACAAAATCTGCCTTATAAGGTGTCTGTCCCCGATTTTCACAAGCAAGTCAACTTCAACATGGCAAAAGTCAAGTCCATTCTCTCTCTCCTACTAAAACCAGTTTCTTCTTCCTACATCTCTGTCTCAGAGAAAATAAATGCCCATTGCTATTGCACCAGTCAGAAAGCAGGGATCAACCTCATCTTTTCTTCTAGCTCCTAGTCAGCCACCAGCCTTCATCTTTCTATCCTCTAAGTACCTTATGCTAACCCATCTCTCCAATCTACATTCTTGCTCAGCTGACTACAACATCTGCCAAACCACCATTTCCATGCTACTGAAAGCTACTGGGAAGGGAGGTGAACATGATTCAAGTGCATGTATAAAAATCAAGTCATCACGGGGCTGGGAAGGTGGCTCAGTGGTAGAGTGCTTGCCTTACATGCTCGAGACCTTGGGTTCTATTCCTCAGCACCACATAAGCAAAAAGAAAAAAAAAGCCGGAAGTGGCGCTGTGGCTCAAGTGGTAGAGCGCTAGCCTTGATCTGAAGAGCTGAGGGACAGCATCCAGGCCCAGAGTTCAGGCCCCACGACCGGACCAAAAAAAAAAAACATCAAATCATCACAAAAGTCCAAAAATGGGTGAAGGAGCATAAGAGTAAATAATAAGGTTGAGATAATTTGATCAAAGTAAATTATATATGTATGTATATATATATGGAAATATTATAGTTAAAATCCCTTGTACAAATAATGTGCACTAATAAACAATAAATGAAAATCTAACCAGGTAGGCTCCTCTTGTAGTAATGAGAGTTAGAAATCTTTCAGAGTGCAGAGTCCATGAATTTTGTTAGGTTTGGCAAACCAAAAGATAGGGATATAAAAAATGGCAATATTGGCCAGTGGCTCCTATAATCCTAGCTACTCAGGAGGCTGAGGTCTGAGGATCATGGTTCAAAGCCAGTCTGGGCAGAAAAGTCATAAGACTCTTTATCTCCAATTAGCTCCCCACCCCCCGAAAAAAAATCCAAAGTAGAGCTGTGTCTCAAGTGGTAGAGTGCTCGCCTCGAGCATAAACGGTCAGGGACAGTACCCAGGCTCTGAGTTCAAGCCCCAGGACTGGCACAAAACAAAAAAAATGCAATATTGAGAATTAGGAGGTAAATAGAAAATTGCATCCTCTAAAAAAAATGACATCCTCTAAAGAATAAAAGGATAGGAGAAAGGAAAAGGAAGATGTTTAGTTTTTCTTTTTGGAGGTTTATTTTTTAATGTAAGATTACTATTTACCCATTACAAAGAATAATTTCATTATAAATATTTATAAATTCATTATAAGTAATAATTTTAAATACATTTCGCTTTTTGTTTTTTTTTTTCCTTTGGGCTAGTATTGTACTTTGAACTCATAGTCTTCTTTGGTTTTTTACTCAAGACTGGTGCTCTACCATTTGAGCCACATCTCACTTTTGCTGGTAAATTGAGATGACTCTCACAGACTTTTCTGCCTGATCTGGTTTTTTAAATCATGATCCTTAGATCTTAACCCCCTAAGTTGCTAGAATTGCAAGTATGAGTCACCAGCAACCAGCTAAATTCAGGGGCTTGGTTTTGTTTTAAATTGTTAGCTCTCTAAGCCTCATATTCCTTGGTATAAAGAGTTTGTCTTAATATAATGCAAATCTCTCCCACACACTCATCCTTAACCTGTTATCCAACATCAACTCCACACATTTAACTCCTCAAAGCACCATGTTTGTGCTTTCACACAAATTGGCTCTCCACCTAAAATATAACACTCCGCACACTTCATTTGATGGTTGTCTCCCTTGTCCATTAAAATTCAATTGGTGTTACGCTAGAAATATTTTCCCTGAGCTTCTCTCACTCCCTCTTTGTAGTGAATAGTTCCCATCTTGGATCTGTAATCACTCCCTACGCACAGCTCTATCGGAGACCAGAAAACCTGCATAAAGCCTTGGATCTCCCATAGCCTGGGAACTTGATGAAGTCAGGGACTATATCTAACTCCTGTGTGAAGTTCAGTGCAGAGCATGCCAAGTTGGTGAACTCATAGTGAAACAAGCAGCTCACATCTACTCATGTTGAAAATGAAGACGGTATAAGCAAAGGGCTAATTTCCTTAAGGAGGTCATCCATTTTAAAGTCAACGACGCAACTGAAAAAAACGGACAAAGAATGAATTTACTGCTCACAGAAGAAAAAATACAAACAGCTCTTAATCATTTAAAAAGATGATGTCATTGAGTCATAAAAATGAAACGCATATGATCTAGAGTATGTGATACCATTTTAAACTATCAATTTGGCAATGATCAGAAATGGTGTTAACACCATGCTAACAAGAATAAATGGAATTAAAACTCTTAAATGTGTTGATTAAAGTGTACTGCATTAGAATTTCAGTGCAAAACAAACTGGCAATAATCCAAAGATTAAAAAAATGCAAGTATACCTCTTGAAAGCAACTCTACTTCCCATAAGTTTAGAAAGATTTATGTATGATAATATTCATTCCAGTCTAACACTGTATTTAGAATTTTTTGTTTCTGAACCCATGCATATAGTCCTAAACTATACAAGAGGCAGAGATTGGAAGTAATTAAAGGCTAGCTTACACAAAAAATTAACAAGACTTCATCACAATCAATATGTTAAGCATGGTGGTTCACACTTGTAATTCCAGCTACATAGCAAGCACAGGCAGGAAATTGGCAGTCTGAGGGAATTCCAGGGAAAAAATGCAAAAATCTATCTGAAAAATAACTGAAGTAAAAAGAAGGACTGAGGATGTGGCTCAAGCAGTGGAACAACTGCCTTGCAAGCATAAAGCCCAAGTTCAAACCCTAGTACTGCCAAAACAAATATAATTATTTCCTTAAGAAAAAGTAACTCAGGGCTGGGAAGGTGGCTTAGTGGTAGAGTGCTTGCCTTGCATGCATGAGGCCCTGGGTTCAATTCCTCAGCACCACATAAGCAGAAAAGGCCAGAAGTGGCACTGTGGCTCAAGTGGTAGAGCACTAGCCTTGAGCTGAAGAGCTGAGGGACAGCGCCCAGGCCCAGAGTTCAGGCACCATGACTGACAAATAAAAGAAAAAGAAAAAGTAACTTATATTTTAATAGTAAGTTACATGAAATAATAGGTTTCAAATATTTAGAGGTTTTTCAAATAATTCTGATTAGCAAATCTCAAAAAATAAAATATTTCTCTATGACTTAGAAATGTAGTGATAGAAAAAAATGCAAGCCAGTTATATTGCTTTGGAGAAGATAATTCTAGAAGAGCTCCAGAGTATGAAAAGTATTATAAGAATGAGATGAAGGGGGCTGGGAAGGTGGCTCAGTGGTAGAGCGCTTGCCTTGCATGCATGAGGCCCTGGGTTTGATTCCTCAGCACCACGTAAGCAAAAAGAAAAAAGCC